AAAAAAAAAAAAAGAATAATAGAAAACCTAGTCGGACATCGTGGCGGGCACCTATAGTTCCCCAGCTACTCGGGAGGCTGAGACAAGAGTATTGCCTGAGCCAGAGTTTGAGGTGGTTGTGAGCTATGATGCCACCACACTACCCAGGGCGACAGAGTGAGACTCAAAAAAAAAAAAGAACCCTAGGCAATGTGTTCAAAATACACATTTTAAATGTAATCCCACTGGTCTGTTGGAATTTCCTGGTATATTTCATTTTCCTGACTGGTTTGTGTAACCTTTGGAAACGTGGATTTGATTCAGTTCATTAATATTTTTCTAGGGCAGAGAAGAGTGAAGAGAACGGTGGCAAAGGAGGGGATACATCAGTTAAAACGTTGAAATAGGAAAATGTGTAGTCTTTTCAACATAACTTCCCCTAAATTTTTCCTAGAAAAAAACAAATGCATGAGTCATGATATTCCGTGGGTTTCAATCACCAGGCCTCTTATCTTCAGGGGTGCGAGACTAGCTTTCCAAAGGTGGCATTCACAGACAGCAATAACTCAATTAATGCTTTTGCAAAACAAGGAAAGCCCAAATCATTCTTTCAGCCTCTCCTCCCATTTCTCTGAGCTATGTCTCTAGACAAACTGGCCCAGAGTCTTCATTGCTGTCCCCACCTGGAATAGCATTCTCCAAATCACCACTTACTGAAGGTAACACTAATTAAATTACAACGGCTATCATAATAACTTATGTTTTAGCCAGTCGCTCTGCTGGACACTCTCAAAGAACCGGTTTGGGGCCTTACTTACATACACGTACAGACATAGATATACATAGTATACAGTCATCCTTCAGTATCCGTGGAGAACTGGTTCCAGAAAAACTCCTCCGGTGCCCCCCAGATACCAAAATCCCAGGATTCTCAAGTCCTTTTTCTTTTTCTTTCTTTCTTTCTATCTTTTTGAGACCAAGTTTTACTTTGTTGCCCTCAAGTACTGTGGCTCACAGGAACCTCAAACTCTTGGGCTCAAGCAATCCTCTTTCCGCAGCCTCCCAAGTAGCTGGGACTGCAGGTGCTCGCCACAACTCTGGGCTATTTTTTCTAGAGTCAGGGTCTCACTCTGGCTCAGGTTGGTCTCCAACTCATGAGCTCAGGCAATCTACCCTTGTCAGCCTCCCAGAGTGCTAGGATTACAGGCATGACCCATGGCACCCAGCCTCTCAAGTCCTTTATGTAAAATGGGATAATTTTTGTAAATGACCTACACACATACTCATTTACACTTCATTTTTTTCTTAAGTGAACACTCTGTACAATTCAAATCATCTCTAGGTTACTTATATTACCGGATGCCAGGTAAATGCTATATTATACTACATTGCTTTTAAAATTTGTATTTTTTTATTGTATTTTTTAATGGAGTATCTTTGGGGGTGTTGGAGGTGGTAATTTTGACCTGTGGTTGGTTGAATCTGCTGATGTGGAATCCCTGGATACAGCAGCCCCACTGGTGAGAGAGAGAAAGAGCGCACAAAAGAGAGAATGCCTATTATACTAACCAAGAAAATAAAATGAAAACACAGATCTGTCTGTATACAGATCATATAAGCACCAGGATAATAAGGAGATAATTGGAAAATTGTATGCCAATTAAGTTAAAAATGTAGATTAAATGAACAAATTTCTATGACAAAAATTATCAGAACTGAAATAGGATACAAATTTAAAATCTGATTAAGCCTTTTAATTTTGAAGAAATTAAATTTTGTTCAACAAACTTCCCACAAAGATAATTCCAGGCTCAGATGGTTTCAATAGCCAAATTTATCAGACTTGTAGGGAAGACATGACGCCAATCTTACATAGAATTTTTCAGAAAGTAGAGGAGAAATTTTTCCTCTTGTTTGGAGACCAGGATAATGTCAACAATAAACATGAAATAAATATTATCCAAAAAATTTACAGATTAATATTCCACATGAACCTAGAAACAAAAAGAAGTTTCATAAAATATTAACAAATTGAATACACCAATATATAGAAAAATAATACATCATGAACAACTTGGTTTTATCTCAAATGTGAGGAATTCAAGGTAGGTTTAATGTTCAAAAACCGATTTAATTCATCATATTAACAGACTAAAAAAGTAAAGCTATATGATCACCCTCATAGATGTGGAGAGAGCCCTTAAAATTCAATACCCACTTATTATAAAAATTACCAGAAAATTAAATTAGGAGGGACTTTCTCAATATGATAAAGGGCTTAAAAATCTGCAACTAATATCAGACTACAGTAATATTGAATACTTTCCCCCTAATATCTGAACAGGTAAGATGCCCAGTCTCACTTCTTCTTTTCAACATTTGACTGTAGTTCATAACCCTTACCTTAAAGCAAGAAAAAAATAAAAAGTATAACAATTGGGAAGGGAGTAAAATTGTCTCTATTTTCAAATGACATGATGGTCTACATGGAAATCATAGGAATCAATAAAACAACTACTACAACTAATAAGGGAATTTAGGGAGATCTCAGGATACGTGTTCCAGATTAATATATTAAAATTAACCTATTTTATATATTAGTAGCAAAAATATAGACTGTAAACATATGTATGTATATTTTATATTTGTATGTGTGTATATATATACATATATATATATATCTCAAATACATTGGAATAAGTGTAACAAAAGAAGCTATGTGTTTAGTGTCAAGCATGTGTAAAGATACTAAATATCATCAGTATATGTGCGGCAGCCAATCATATGTAAAGATACTAAACATCATCAGTCACCAGGGGAAAAAAATTCAAACCACAGTGAGATATCATTACACACTTATTAGAATGTCTACCAAAAAATGGCCAGGCGCTGTGGCGGGCGCCTGTAGTCCCAGCTACTTGGGAGGTTGAGGCAGGAGACTCGCTTGAGCCCAGGAGTTGGAGGTTGCTGTGAGCGTGATGCCATGGCACTCTACCCAGGGGGATAGCTTGAGTCTCCGTCTAAAAAAAAAAAAGAATGTCTAAATTGAAAACATCTGCCAATAATACCAAGCGCTAAGGAGGATGTAGAGCAACTGGAACTCTCATAAACTGTTGGGAGGAATACAATCTGGTATAGCCACTTTGGAAAACAGTTTACTGATGTCTGATATAACTATAACCTTGCAATTCCACTCTTGGAAATTTACCTGGGAGAAAGGAAAACTTTATTTATTTATTTATTTATTTAGAGACAGAGCCTCAAGCTGTGGCCCTGGTTAGAGAGCTGTGGCATCATGGCTCACAACAACCTCTAACTCAAGCTCAAGCGATCCTCTTGTCTCAGTTTTCCTTTCCTTTTTTTTTTTTTTTTTTTTGCAATTTTTGACCAGGGCCAGGCTTGAACCCACCACC